TTTCTTGTTCCTGAGAAAGTATGTTGGAGATGCCATATGTTCAAATGCTTCGTTGCGTACAAGCAACTAAGAAATCTTATAGTTACCATTTGTCCCTCGAAGAGCATTATTGATGCTCTCATCATTTTTAGTTTTAAAACGTCTAATCCTAAAAAGGGTGGTGTTGGAGACTTATAGCTTCTACTCTTTCATCATCTGGGCCTAATAAGAATAAACTATTGAGTTCGAGTCAGTATTTGTATTGGATCGCAGTAAAGTTATAATCAAGATAAACATTTCAACGATAAGAGCGTAGCAACATCAAAAATATCTTCATTAGGGTAAAAATTATCATCATTTAGAGGTGTCAATAAAAGACCTGATGTGCCAGCTCGTGCTAGACCTAACCCTAAAAGTCGGGTTCGAGATGACCCGTTTAATAAATCGGTTTGTTCCGGTCTGGAATTCCGACCAATTAAATGAAAGTGTCGAGTTCGAACTTAGCCGCAAACCCATTTTTTTATCTGAATTTGACTCATTTCATAACTTCCCCCCTTAAATGCTGTTATTTGTTGGTATTTTCTTATTATTAGTTTATCAATTAACATAAAATATATGATTAGTAACATAATGATTGGATACTTGTCAAGTCAATTTCGAACAGGTTCAAACTTGACCCATTAATCTATTTTGACACTCATATTGTCATCGTTCAATCTCCATCACCCACCATAATCACTCAATCGTTGTTATCCAATTCCTGCGAACTAAATGTTATCATTTGAACACCAACTATCATAACTTCTGAGTGTAGACATCACCCTTCATTACTTATCTAGTATTATATTCCACAAAAATATGAGGGTAAGTTGGTGTTCCGTATATCAAAATCTCATTTTCTCCAATTAAGAGTAGGAGAAAAATTTTGTAATATTATTTACATTTATTTCATATGTATCAGAGCTCATGATTTTTTCTTTTTCAAAATTTTCTCTAAAATTTTTTGTCTTTCATGACATTCTTTTATACTAAAACTCTGTGAAATATAAAAACAAAAAAAAATTTGATACGTCATCACAAAATTAGCTTGATCGGGCACGAATCTCGTGGCAAAAGCTAGTTGGAGACTTCAAAAATTAAATCCGGGAGCATCCGAACTCCGATTTCAACGAGCTTACAGTCAAACTGAGCGTCTCGGAAATACGAACCCAACGACACCAAGATCGACCCAATCCGAGCCCAAATGAGTCCGAATCAAGGGTTCAAAGCGCTGTGCCAGTATTTGTATTGGATCAAGATAAACATTTCAAAAATAAGAGTGTAACAACATAAAAAAAAAAATCTTCATTAGCGTAAAAATCATCATGATATAGGGGTGTCAATAAAAGACATTACGTGCCATCTCCATTCAGACTCAACCCTAAAAATCGGATTTGGGATAACCTGTTTAATAAACCAGTCTGTTCTGATATAAAATCCAACCAATTTAATAAATTTGTCGGGTTCAAATTTACCCTTCATCTCATTTTTATCATAATTTGACTCATTTAATATTTTTTCCCCTTAAATGCTTTTATTTGTTGGTATTATCTTCTTTTTTTAATCAATTAATTTAAAATATATGGTTAGTAAAGTATAAATTTTTTAAATCAAAACAAGTTATCGGATCCGGTTCATATTGACTGGATGCTTGCGTAGCCAATTTTGAGTCAGGCTCAAACACCATTATCCACCACCATCACTCAATCGTCATTACTCAATTGCTGTGACCTGAATGTTATCATTTGAACACTAACTATCATAACTCTTGAGTGTAGACATCACCCTTCATTACTTATCTAGTATTATATTCCACAAAAATATGAGGGTAAGTTGGTGTTCCGTATATCAAAATCTCATTTTCTCCAATTAAGAGTAGGAGAAAAATTTTGTAATATTATTTACATTTATTTCATATGTATCAGAGCTCATGATTTTTTCTTTTTCAAAATTTTCTCTAAAATTTTTTGTCTTTCATGACATTCTTTTATACTAAAACTCTGTGAAATATAAAAACAAAAAAAATTCACTATATCATCATAAAAATTTTCAACAATCACTCTATATTAGAAATATTAGGATTTAGTTTGATGAGAAATAATTTTAAAATAAATAATTTTTTTATCTATTAAATAATTTTAAATATATTATATTGTATTTTTATATTTTTTTAGCAAACCAAGTGGCTCATAATCTGATTCTGATAAAAAATATTTTTATATAATAAATAACCAATTACTCATAAATATATTTGGCGTAAACGAAAAAAAAAGAATATTTTCTTTAACAATTAAATTAATTGCACCTAAACAATTATTATTTCAAGAAAAGGTGCTCTTTGAAATGACAATTCGATACAGCTCATCTTAATTTATTGACTTTAAATTTAAAATGTACACATTTTAATTTATATAATTAAATTAGCTCAAAAAAAATTGTTTTTTTTGCAT